ATCCTTGATAATTTTACCCATGCGAGATATGGTTAGCTCTTCGGGAACTAACTCAGTATCAAACAACCCTCTCTCTAATACTGTTTTGTCCTGCACGTAGGTGGCAATGACTTCATTGATGTCCTCTTGACAAATACGTACGCCTTCAGAACTCTTGGGTGTGGTTAACCCCTTAATTTCAATCTGATATTCTCCAGTTTTGGCGTTATGGCCGATATTTTCACGATCTGGCAGATAACCTTGTTCACCATAATCGAATTCATCAAGAGCAACACTGGTGTTATGTTTGGGGACAAAATTAAATTTTGGGGCAAGTACTTGTTCCATCAATAGGCTAGCTGCAATTGCTTTTAAGGTATCATTGACTGCATCAGCCACATTATCTTGAGTGGCATCGGGTTCTGCAATCAAGTTTGTGAACCGCGCTTGTGTTTTATGAGGTGCATCACGTGTTGCTCGCCCAATAATTTGCACAACCTCAGTTAAACTTGAACGATAGCCAATGGTGAGCGCATGTTCACACCAAATCCAATCGAACCCCTCTTTTGCCATACCCAAGGCAATAATGATATCAACATGATCCCGATTGTTTTTCTGAGACGGATCTTTTAAAGCGGCCGATACTCGATCTCTTTTAGTCATATCATCATCAACCAAATCAGCAACTTTAAGCGTCCTGCCATCGGCTGTTTGAACGAGCTGAAAACCCGTTTGAGAATCGGTCCCCACCCATGTGCCAAGTTCATGAATAATATGCTCAACTTCTCGAATTTTATCTTTTGTACTTTCCCGAGAGTTCACGTTGGGAATATGAATAATCATTTTTTGTTGCGTATCAATCACCTGCAAAATTTGATCAGCATAAGAGCCCGAATAAAAACAATAACCAATGTCGAGTCGCTTAAGATACTGATAACCATTAAGCTGTTCGTAATAGGTGTAGGTCACGGTATCAAATCTTGCCTCATCTTCTGGGGACAGAACCGCCTCTGCATCTCCTCGAAAGTAAGATCCTGTCATTGCAACGATATGAACCTTATCTCTAGCAATCAAAGCTTGTAAATGCTGACCTAATATATTGTCGTTATGGCTGCTCACATGATGAAACTCATCGATGGCAATTAAACAATGATCAAATGCATCAATCCCAAACCGCTCCACTGCAAAACGAAAGGTGGCATGGGTACACACCAACACACGATCTTCGCTCGCTAAAAAAGATTGTACAGAATTAACCTTACCCCCATTATCGTCTCCTGGCGCGTTGCACAGATTCCACTGCGGGCAAACCACCCAATCAGCCCAAAATCCTGATTTTGTTAATTTTTCGTCATTAAAACTGGAGCCTATCGATTTCTCAGGAACGGCAATAATGGTTTTTTTCACGCCTTGGTTATGCAATTTATCTAAAGCAATAAACATCAATGCCCTGCTTTTACCTGAAGCCGGTGGTGATTTAATCAATAAATATTGCTCGCCTCGCTTGTTGTACGCTCGTTCCTGCATCACCCGCATGCCTAGCTCATTGGCATGGGTAGAGCTACCGTTACCAGAGTAGTTCACTGAAACAGAGGTGATACCAAGCGAACCGGGATTGACATAACTTATGGTGCTATTTTGTTTCATGTGTATTCCTGAAGGTTTGATTTAACTCTGCAATTACTCTGCAATTACTCTGCAATTACTCTGCAATTTATCCGCGCAATAAAATATTAGCTGTTTATTTTCAATGAAATATAAGCATGGAAAACACATCTTGATGTATGCATGACTAATTATTACAAATTAGTTTTCTCTGCAATTTTCCAGCAAGGATTTCTATCGCTACCCGCATTATAAATTTGACCAGAGCGCCTTAATTTGGTAAGTAAATTGGCTATTTTAGTACCTTTTTGAGCTTCATCCAACGCATCGCTCAGATGCTTTTTTAGCAATTGATCAATATCTTGACGTGACGCCTGCCCAAATTTCTGCAGGTAATCCATGATTAACTTGGCATAGTGCATATCATCTTGCCTGCGTGTGCGGATATACTCGGCTTTACTGTCAGTTGCATGGGCAATATAGGCAGACACATGGAAATGGGGGCTCCTTCCTTCAATCATACCATTTCGTCTCAGACGCTCGCTAACTTCACGGGGTATCGGTAACTTTTTCTGCACACGATCAAGTGCCAGAATATCGGACAATGGGATATCTGTCTTCTCAACCAAAAGTTTACTGTAAGCAGGATCAATCACCCCACCATGGATTGTCAAAGCGGTCTCACTCTCGGTAACATAATAATCAGGCATTGGAAAGTACCGTGCCGCTTGCCCCTTATGCATCTGATGAATGCCATATCCCATCGTATCAATCATATTGAGTTCCACCATGGCGCGGGTCAAAAAAGGGTTGCGATACCGCCGAGGGGTTTTGTGACCTTCAATATAATCATCGGGTTGCCCTTCAAAAAAACTACCCTCGTTTTCAAAAATCAGTTTATCAGCCGATTCTGTGACAATAATACGTCCATTTTGAGCATAGTCTTGGTGGGCTATGCAATTGTGCAAAGCCTCCATAATGATTTTCTGGTCATACTTTGCAACTTCAATCGGTATGAGTTGATTGCTGGGGAGTAGACGAATTTGAATATTACGAATCTGTTGGTAAAGCTGCGTCGTTGAAAGTAAAAATGGCGGATAAAAGTGCTCGTAGGCCTGTTCTTGCCCAATGAGTTTCCAGGTAATTTGTGCTGGGTGAGGGGAAAGTAAATATGTTGACTGCGGTTTTCCAAGCAATAACAAGGTAGCTCGAGTCATCGCAAAATTTTGTGTCAGTCGTGCGCGTTCAAGAAAGTCGCCATCAGACCAAGTCATCACCTCAGTTCGGTCTAACCGATTGGCATGCTTAAGGGCAAATGCTTCGCGTGCTCTAGCTATTGCGGTTGCATCCAGATCTGCAAGCGTGGCTGAGGGGACTATCTGTCCTGACCAGTCGATAAGGGAGTTTTGTTGCCGAATTTCATCAATCTTATCTATGCTTAAAGGCGCGAGGCTTTGTCCAGCGCGACCATAATAATGTCCATTCCATGAAATAGGTATGCCAGCTGGAGCAGAGGGAATTTCAAATAAAATCACACGCTTATTATTGTCCGTCATGAGTTCATGAATATTTCTAAACGTGATTTTAGGTTGCGTATTGTCTGAAATCTGATATTTGGTTGCTTGCAATTGTTCTAAGTTGTTTCTATACTCGGTGCCAGTCACTTCACGAGTACGGTCGTCCACGCCAAAGATAAGCCAAGCTCTATCCCGACCGCGCAGATTGGCTTCATTGGCTAAAGCAGAAAAGTATTTTCCAATTTCGGTTGTTGAATAATCATTTTTGGCTTGTTTGAACTCGATGATTTCCGTTTCCCAAGTTTGAATCAGGTCGTTCAAGATCTGTTTTAGTTCTGCTTGCTTCATTTTTATATCATTTTGATTTTATATAGATAAACACAATTTAAGCCTGTTTTTTTCTGTTGACAGTCATTGCCACATACATCTCAAACAG